TCAGCGCGGCTACGCTACTACTGCTGCTGGATCAGCGCAGAAGAGCGGACCGCCCGAGCGCGGCTGCGTTCCCTGCCAATGGTAATCAGTGCGACAGCAAGCGCCAGCGTGACCATTTCATCCGACATTTCTCACTGCAAACAGCCGTCTGAGTGTATTCAGGCAGCCCGCTCAGGGGCCGGCCATCTGCATATTCGCGTAAAGTGACAATTCGGCCCTAGCATGTCACGTCTCAGCAGCATTTCGGTTGGCGTTGAAACACCGATTTATGTCAGCGCTCATCCAAAGAATGTCACGTACGCTGCACAATATTCGCTCTCGACGCATTAGCTCGTTCCATTTTACGTTCCAGCGACGTTACAAGGGAAATACTTAAAGCGCGTAGCGTTTTTACCCGTGAGCTACGGCTCTAAGTCGGCTATTCTTCATTGTTCCAACAGCACTGCAATGCGTAGTCCACACTTTGAACAAATAACAAGATTTCTTAGTAATAGCTTCGTACCGCTGCCGCAAACAAAGCACGATATAGTGAGTCACTACCAAACAAGTAAAGAAAATAGGCTTGTTTACACAGTTTCCCTAGACTGTAACCGCAGGCAAATGGAGACCTTGTCAGCGCTGCACAATCCCACAATGGGAATGCGGATGTTGGCGCATGGTTAATCGGGCCTTGGCCTGTAAGGACGGCGGGTCTGCACGCCGCATTATGTTGCCATTACGCTCGACGCGTGCTCCTAAGAATGGCACGTCTTAGCCCGGCCAGGTGCTGGCTTAAGGTCAGCCACGACGACGATTACATTACCGCATCAAAACCCAAACACGTTCCGCGGGAAGGTAGAAATCCGTCACCAACACGCTGGTGTACTTCTCCAATAAGCTCAGACGCATGCCGCAATGGTAAAGTATCCGTGGGTCCGAATACTTAAATTTCTGGATGAGAAAGTGATGCCATGAAGCAAAAAGGAGGTGAAAACTAAGAGATAATAAGGTTTACGCGTAGGGATGCCTGGGTAGTGAATGCTCGTTTATGATTCTGTCTGTCTGCAACTATGTTCTGATCTAAGCGATATTTGGAGATTTCGTTTTGGCATCCTGGCACGATTTTGTATTTACTTTAGTGTTATTTCGACCACGCATGTGGAACTTGCCCTACCGTACCTTCGACTACTTAATGTAATAACTCCAAGATCGTATTATCTGAAGGGGATCGCGTCTTTATCTAAGCAATACAAGAATATTTTGTTTCAGTTTCCTTACATTACTTCATATTCATTTTATTGTTATCCGACTAAATATGCCACTTCATGTGATGATACCAACAGTGTTCCAGTATTTTGACTGAAACATGTGGTCAAAAAATGGTCAACGCCCAAATATAGCAGCATCAAACTGAAAGGCAATATTTCAAACATATTCATGTGGCACAATGAGGCGAGTAAGTTAAAATGGCATGATATACGAGTGCCATTTATCTGACACCCACCTGTAGAACCTGTGGCCAGTAGCCGACGCCTGGCCACCACTGGGATGACGCACAAGGGCCCAGCCGACGTTATCTCACTTCCACCGACGGGCACATCTCAGCCGGGGTGGCCTCGGCCAACCCGACCACAACCCTCTCTTCAAGCCGATGCGCTCAACCGGGGTGGCCTCGGCCGACCCGATCACAACCCTCTCTTCCAGCCGATGCGCTCAGCAGGAGTGGCCTCGGCCGACGCGATCACAACCCTCCCTTCTAGCCAATGCGCTCAGCCAGGGTGGCCTCGGCGGATCCGACCACAACCTCCTCTTCCAGCCCATGCGCTTGCTGCTCAACACAGATCTTTGCGGTTTAGGCCCGTATAGCATGGCCATTCGCTTGATGAAGGACAACAAATGCCGAACTGTTCGAGAGGAACACGCAGTTTCCTTTCCACATTCGTAGAATAGTCATCTCAGGATGCTTGCGGGTCATGGCGGTTCTAAAGACAGACAGTACCCCACCGCTGCCGTCTGGCTTTTAAACTCGCTGATGAGGTTGACCTCATCGCCCTTGATGTCGCAACGAGGCTCCTGCCCCGCCCTGGAACTTAGCGCTCAGCGCCTGGTGCTAAAAATGGCGAACTTGCATGATTCCGTGTTGCTAAGAAGTTCAATAATTGCTGTTTTCTTAGGAACCGACCGCGCTTAAATAAGGCCCGGCTCGGTGATATTGTAAAAACACTCACCAATTCGATGCTTTCAGCGCCCCCGTCCTCCTGCCGCCGTGTTCCGACGCACCAGTAGAAGGCACGGCAGCACAGACCGGGCTGTGTGTGCCCCGGCGTGGGCTGCCAAGGCTAACGTCATGTTGACGCAAGGCAGCAGCGGGTAATATTCACCGCGGACAAATAAAGAGCACGATGAACGCTCATTTATACCGCCTTTATGGAGACCTAATGCTTCAAGCTGTGTTTGTCATACTCCGCAAGGAATTGAAGGCCTTGTGCAACATACTTCGACGTGACCAATAGCCGTGTCACAGGAACGGTTGAGCCAAACTTGTGGCGTGCTATATGCTGCGCCACTGGTCGCCCCGACCGGCACCACCAAATTGCGACGCAAACTTGGCCTTTATTTCTCGCGGCTCAGTCTTGATGCTGTAGTCTATGTTTTGCTTGGACTGGACGTCCATTTCATTCCGAATGACACGGCATGACTGCCACAAGGAAAATATTGCTTCTTAGCCAAAACTCCAACTCTGCGTGCTCATGCGTATCTAGACGAAGCGCAACCTCTTAAGACCGCGGAAACACTATTCTTGAAAAAATCCCTGAACTCTACAGCTTGCTGTGATCTATCCTATGAGCTATGATTGCTTGCTTGATTTATATGGTTCAGGGCAACTTTCCGTGGAATTCCTTCATCCCATGGGAGCTAATTTTACCATCGCTATAAAACTATCTATTTAACCAAAGGCATGTAGTTGCCAGGGCTTCATCGTATCGAGATTTATAGACATCTGCAGCACACTTGGAATTGATGCACTTCCGTATTTAATCGCGCCTGCCATGTACCATTTCCATAGAATATTCTATTAAAATTGCAGCGATTGAAAGGATATATCGTGCAACACGGCTAGGCTGCCAAGATCAATTTCAGTTCCGTGAGCGCATCGCTCGAATGAACTGTCATCATCGCGGAGAATCGAAACACTGCCCCAGTTACATGGT